AGACTTTACAAATAGCTCCCACTTCTTGAGTACTTACTGTATAGCAGGCACAAGCACTCTCTTTCTTAGGTCAACCTAGAGACCATAGGAAGGCACTACTGTCTCTACACAGGTCACTGAGGAATAGAGCTGGGGTGATTTCTACAGATGGTTCCACAGCTAGTCAGGAGTAGGACCAAACCCAAGGAAGGAAGGACGGAAGGAAGGAGCAAGCTGGTGGCGCAGGTCATCAGTTGTATACCTGTTTACCTAGCACCCTTGAGGCACTGGGGTTTGAGTGGGGCAGTGGCAGGGTAGGGTGGCAGGCATTCTATTCCTGAGTCCACAAAGAGTAAGATACATGGTTAGCATGCTCAAATACCTTTCAGATGTCTTAGCACTAAGATAAACCCAGATTTCCCAAGGCATCTGGGGCTTAGACATTCCCCACCACAAACCTCCATAAGCACAGACATTTGCCCAGTCGGTAGACCCTGAGAGAAGGGCAGAACAATTAAGCCACTGATAGGTCTGGTGTCTGATTCTTTCAGCTCTGGGATCCTCTGAACACTGGACACATGACCTAAAGCCAGAAGTGTCATCCCAGACAATAGGGACATTGTGACCTCCCAGCCAGTCCCACTTCAAAAGACTGGGACCGACTGGAACAAGCAGGAAGACAAAAGACAAAAACAAAACATGACCTTATCTGAGCTAAGATCACTGCTGTAAAGACAAACAGAGCCTAGGAGGGCTGGGAGAAGGCTGGGAGGCTTCATGTTTGGGTCTCCTTGTCCTTCAGGGAAACTGTGTTTTTCGTCCTATAAACAGGAAAAGTGGCAGATCTGAAACTAGGACTTGTGGAATCTTGTTCTCTAGTCTAGGGCTAAGAACTAAAGTATCTAAGAAAAGGGGTTGGGGGGGCAAAACAGCAGAAATTTGGTGACTTGATTTGATTAAAATACTTAAGTCCTTCTTTTGATTGTCCAAGCTACTTAAGAGATTCCGTGGGGACTGGGAAATGCCAGATTATCAGTCTCCTAGGATTTGGGAGATGAACTGTCTCAAGTCTCTGCCTGGCCCTGGTAGGAGATTACACTTAAGACTCCAGGGAGTGCTTTCTCCATTGGAGCATCTTCATGACCTCACAGTTCTGGATCAAGTGATCTGGTTAATCCTTCTCCTGCCCTAGGGATGCTGACAAGTCCTCAGAAGGCTGGGGCTCTCGCTAGGCTTGCCTCGACATGTGAGGGGATTTAAAGGTTTGGGATTAGATCTAGAGTAAGGTATCTACTGGTAAATCAAAGGCCTGGAGGCTCTTCAGGCTAAAGCAGGTGGTAGGACCAACAGCTATAGAACAAGAGATGTTAAGGAAGATGCTAGTAAACTGAACTTTGCCTGCTCAGAGTCCTTGCACTTGTACCACCCAAAAAGACAGATGACCAAGAATAAACAGAAAGGAACACCTGACATTTTAAAAATGTCGTGTGTGTGTGCATGTGTACACACATGAGAAGGCCGGAGATCAGCATCAAGTGTCTTCCTCAATCACTCTCCACCTTATCTATTTATGAGCTTGTTTCTGCTTTCTGAGACCAGGCTTTTCACTGGATGTGGAGCTCACTGGCCAGTGGGTTCCTGGGATTCTCTTGTGTCTGCCTCTTCAGAGCTGGGATTTCAGGTATGCTAACACGCCTCATTTTTTTTTTTTTTTTAGTGTGAATGCTGGAGATCAAACCCAGATCCGCATATTTACATGGCAAGTGTTCAACCAACCCAGAGCCCAGTGCTTAACTTTTCAAAGCATCACATGTGTTTGCCTGTGATCCCGAGACAGACAGCAAGTGCAGTTATTCACAGTGAGCACAAGAGGTTAACTGGCACTTGTGATCAGTTCAGTGACAACTAGAGGAGAGCAGGACTGAGTCAAGACATGTGCTCTCCCAACATCTACAACAGCCCCCCTTCTGTGAGGATGCTTCAGCAGTGATGGCAAACATCGGTGAGTGCTACCCGGCTTGCATCACGGCCAACGAAATTAATAAGAGAGGGTGGGGGTATAGCTTAATGAGCTGGAAACAAACCCTAGCTCAAGGGTACTTTGTTTCCTCCTCTGAATTTTTGTTAGGAAGCTACAACACACACAAGAAGTGAGAACTAGCACAACAAGTTCCTGTGTCCCCCACTCAACATCTTCATCACCCCGTGCCACTCTTCTGAAACCTGCTCTCTTGCTTTCACCAGGGCCCAGAAGACTGTGCGCATGACAGACGAGCCAGGTGATTCCAGGGCTCTACCTGCCTTTCTGAAGCTCTGCATTCCCAGCACCCTGGATTTAGTGCCACAGAGGCCCACAGAGGCATGCTACAGACAAGGGCTGGGGGTGGGAAAGGTTGTGGAAAAAGATACAAGACCAGTTTGGTGACTTTGGACTCAGAGAAAACACAAACTTGCTTTGGGATCTCTGGGTCAAAGTTGGGGATTTAGCCAGACCAAAAAAAAAAAAAAACAGAAAATACTGAGATTTAACTTAATTCAGCCAACTTTTGGTGATTCCTATGTGCAATTTTCAAGCACTAAGGTCATTAAAGATCTTCTGGTTTTCACTGCTGACCCAGGACAGGACGATGCTTCCAATAACATTACCAGAAGGTAAGAAGGGCCAGGCACAGTGGTGCACCTGTGTAATTTCAGCACTCTGGAGGCTGAGGCAGAGGGAATCACCACAAAGAAGGTAATGCAACCTCTCACTTCCCGAATGTGGAGAAGTGAGGACCCTATGTGACTTCTGTTTCTAAGGATGGGTATCACCTAATCTGAGAGCTGCTCTCAGGCCAACCGTGGGAAAGGAAGACCTCCATGCTTCTTTCTGGTGTATCTGGGAGGAGATGGTGAGCCTCACCCCACCCTCCTGACAGCACTGAGGAGATAAAGGAAAGCCAGAGCTTGCCCTAGCCCTTGAGAACCTCAGTATCAAAGGAGGAACACAGCACAGCACTGACCATCCCAAGCTGAGGCCAAACAACTTGGGTCTGAATAATGGCTCAGACACTAAATAACCCATCCGCTTAACTCCTCTGGTCCTCACTTCCCCTCTGAAATCGACAGCAATGTTTAAAAATGAGAGCAGTGCTATCATTTGAGTCCTGTGAAACTGCCAACATTTAACTTTCTTTTTGACAGTCAAAACAGCAATTCCAAGCTGGGCAAGGCAGTTCAGAACTGTAACCCCAGCACTCAGGAGGAGGCTGAGGCAGGGAAACAGCCTCAAGTTCCAGGACAGGCTGTGCTATGAAGTAAGACTTTCTCTCAAACAAGCAAAGGTAATTTCATCTGGGTTTGTGTCCCGTAATCCCAGTGCTTGAGAGCTGGAGGCAGGAAGGGACTAGTTCTAGGATAACCTGGACTATACAGTGAAGCTACTGGGTGGGGGGTAGCGATCCCAGGGCTATGTGTATTTATGTGTGGAGGCCAGGGTTCTTCTATACCTGCACAGCAGAAAGGGAGGGAGAGAGGGAGGGGCAGAAGAGACTTTGCACAGAATTTCCTTGAAATTTTAATTCAGTATTATCTGCTGAGTATATGACTCAGTAAGTGTCAGCTAACGTGGCTACCAACAAACAAAAGGCATGAACCAGCAGCGCCCCTGGCATATGGTGACGTGGTTCACGGCAGCCCAGCACTGTAATTTGATAATTACATTGTCTTCCTATTTTTCAGTATTAAAAAAAAAAGAAGAGTATAAGGTACACCGTAAGGCTCCTTCCCACTCCTGTACTTCAGCAATAATTTTTTTTCCAGCTATTCAGAGTGCAAACATTCCCCTCCCCCCTCTCTCCGAGACAGGGTTTCTCTGTATATCAGCCCTGGCTGTTCTGGAACTCACTGTAGATCAGGCTGGCCTCAAACTCACAGAGATCCGCCTGCCTCTGTCTTCCATGTGCTGGGATTGAAGGTGTGCATCACACCACCTGACCAGAATACAAGCATTCAAATACATGATATATACACACACTATATGTGTGTGTGCATGTTTATATATGTATGTATATACATATATAGTGTGTCTATATCACGTATATGTATAGATATCTACCATATATGTGTATGTATGGATATACACACTATATGTACATATATATATACATACATATGCATATATACCTATACTGTGTATGTGTGATCACATGTGTGTGCTGTGTCCACAGAGGCCAGAGGGGCTGTTAGATGGAATGGAGTTGGAGTTACGGTGGATGTAGGTGCTGGGACCAAACTGAGATCCTCTGCAGAAGCATCGAGCCCCCTTAACTGCTGAGCCATCTCTACAGCTCCATATGCTATAGTCACCGTACTTAACAGCAGAACTCCCAGTTCTTCCTCTCGGCAAACGTCCTTACTGCACACCCCCCTAAGGCTTTTCAAGAACCTTAATGCACTCTATTGTCAGGCGATTATTACATGATCTTAAGAATCCCTTGTTGACAGACAGTTGTTTCCAACCTTTTTCTAAAATAAACACTTCTACAATGAATATTCAACGAATATGCCTCAGTTTATATGTATCAGCAGAGGGGATAGACCTAGAAATGAGATCATAGGATTAAGCAGCGTGTATTGTAAAGTGCTGTCCCCTGAGGCTCCCCTAATTCATACTTCAGACAACAGTAAGCGCCCATTCTCCAACTCAGACTAACTTTCGGTTTTCTCTTGATGTCTTACTATGTAGCCTAGGCTGGCCTGGAACTCGCTACATAGTAGACTTACTCTGAACCAGTGATCCCTCTTCCTTACCCTTCCCAGTACTGAGAAGATAGGGATGGACCACCATGCCAGGCTACAGTCTCAGTCCAGAACCAGCTATATAGGTAGAGGGTAAGACAGTGCAGGATGGGGCTCAGCACTAGTCTGCAGCGAGGGAGGGAATCCCCGTACCTAAACATCTACATGCACAAAGCGTTCTTCAGTCTCTGAGGAGGGGAGTGTCAACACTTGTGCAGAGCCTTGTAGAGATGAGAATAATTATGAGGGATGAGTTAGATGTGGTGACATTACTATAATGTCATCGCTAGAAAGGCTGAGGCAGGAGGACTGTTGTGAGACCCAGAAAAGAGGGGGAAGGAGAAAGAGACAAAGAATAAAAAGAAGGAAGAGGGAAAAGAAAAAAAGACACCGCGAAGAATGGAATGAGAGGAAAACGCTTCTCTCCTATTGCTGGTGCCGTTTTTTTTTTTTTTTTTTTTTTTTCTTTCAGCCAGAAGGGCAGTACATTATTTCAGGCTAATGGTTCATTTTCCTAAGTTTGAACAGTTCCCTGAGGTGAACAGTATCACGCCCCAGCTCTGAGTAGGTCCCTTAGGCAGCTAGGAGAGGTATCACATTTGGAATCTAGAAGGCTTACGTTTGAGTCCTGTCTCTACGTGACCTTTACAGTCTTTGACTATATAACCTTGCGCAAGGCACTTTTTTTTTTTTCTGAGTTCTAGTTTCCTCCTTTACAGAGAAAGGTGAATGGATTGAGACTGAGCGGCGACTACTTGCACCTCACACTGTCTGACGCGGGAGACGGTCCAGAAAGTCTGGTGCTGAGGGATTGATAGCTATTCCATTGGGGTGGGGTGGGGCGGGGGAGTTATTTCAAATAACCATCTTCCGAGCATTCTCCTAGAGCCCGGAATCTACCCGTGTCAGTGAGTTTTACGAGGTGGACTCACAATAGAAGCTAATGAAGACCCTGACAGGGAGGAAGTCCGCTGAAGGAGCCACAGGGAGAACATTCTACCTCCGCGAGAGGGTCTCCGAAGCCTCCGCCACCCCCGGCCATCCTCCGTGGAAGGCTGCTGGGACACAAAGCCCCTGATGTCACCCAGCGCCCAACCTGTGCCCTTTTCTGTCTGGCCGACTCCTGACACCCCTAGAGGAGCGACACGCAGAAACCACAGAAGCAACAACCCGGGACGAGGTGCTGGTCGCGAGCGCCGAGCAGCGAGGTGGAAGGAAGCCTGCGCGCACGTCCCGAGGGCCCTTCCCAGCAGCAACTGGATCGAGCCGGTCCCGAACGGCAGGACCTACCGCGGGAAGGCTGGTCACCGCCTCCCAGCGCGGGCGTCGAGGAGCTCCCGGTGGCCGGCGCCGGTCCCGCGGCTCCCAGGGAGGGAGGAGGCACCTGCTCCGGAGTCGCCCTCCCCGCCGCAAGGAGTCAGCCGCGTCCGCCCCGCCGGTCGCCCTCTCCCGGCGGCACACCCCCCTGCCCGCCCCGGCCCGCCCCGGCCCCCGGGGCCGCTCACCTGAGCGAGCTGCCGGGAGTCCCGCCTGGACCCCGGTCGCCACGCGCGTCCCCGCCCTGCAGCGGCTCCTCGCCCGGTGCCGGGAGGCCGCCGGGTCTCCGCTCCCCCGCCGCAGGGGTCGCGGTGGGCGTGGCGGGCCGAGGTCGGAGCCTGGGAGGTCTCCGCCCGCTCCGCACAAAGCCCGCCCGGCGCCGCTGCAGCGCCGCGCCCGCTGTGTCCGCACCGCGCTCGGCGGGCAGCTCGCGGCCAGGCACAGGAAATGACCTCAGCAGCCGCAGCCTCCCACCGCGGGGCGCGGCCGGGGCCCGCCGGGAGGGCTGCGCGCTGCGACCCCCGGACTGCGTGGGACGCCCCCCACCCGCCCCCCGGCGGGATGCTCGGGAGACCGAACCCAACCCCCTGAAGGAGGGTCCAGCGAGAGTCCAGCGAGCCACCTGTAAGAAAGTACCACCTGGTTATTGGGTCCGTCCGGCTGATTTGTAGTTTGGAGAAGAAAGAAGGGAGCGCGTCGCCGCAGCTCACGAGGAGACCTTGTTTGCTTGTTGTGTGTCTTACTTATTTTAAAGGCGACAGCCAGGGAGTCAGAAGGGCCAGGAGCCCTCGTTTGCAATACCTAACTCACAAAATAATAATTACACATCCAGAGGGAACGGGACACTTGATGTTTGGTTAGGGGATGGGGCTGACGAAGATGCAAATGAACTGAAGCTAGGAAGGGGCCGCTTTGGAATACTGCTTCTTTTGGCCGGGCGGAACTCATGATGGAGGTCCTGGGTTTGAGCCCTAGAACCAAAAAGAACAAGCAAACAAAAAGACAGAAAAGTCACAGAGCTGCCTTTCCCAGTTCCCTGGAGTGAACAGAAAGAAACCCCCACCAGGGTCTATATTCACTCCATGCACCCACAGAGAAAAATCCCCGGCCCCACCCCAGGTTTAAATCTGAATCTGGGAGTGGGAGTGGAGCCGGGGAATTGCCCATGGAGGAAACAAAAAAGCCTCAGGCATTCTCATGGACAATTTTGAAAGCTCGGGCACTAAGGAAGGCAGTTAAACTGGGTGGGTGGGACCGCGAGTGCCTTTACAGGCAAGACCTCTGGGCTTTGTGATGGGGAGACTCACCCGTTCACTTTGAATTTGCAATCGTGAGCTTGAGTATCAAATACGGAGGGCTAACAATGGAAACTCTCGCCCATTGAGATCACCCCTAACCCAAATCCAACTACTGTCATTAGGCATTGTGTATACGCGTAGTCATAGACATTATGTATTCATATGTATTTGTCTATCTCCGAGTATGTTTACAATCACCTTTTAACACTAATTAAGCACCCTTCCTTTTACACACACACACACACACACCCCTTCTTTCTCTTTTCAGAAAGTATCATACTGTGCAGCCCTGACTGCTTTGTAACTTGCCTTGTAGGCCAGCCTGGCCTTGAACTCATGGAGGGTTCTGGCCTCTGCCTCCAGAATGCCAGGACTAAAGATGTATATCACCACACCCAGCTTGCTTCTTATTCCTGACCTCATTTGCTGGTGTCAAGTGTGATGGATGAATGCACTCATACTTGTGATAACAAATATTCAAACTTTAGATTGTTAGCTTGTTGTTACAAGTGACTAGCTTCAGAGAGTGGGAAGAATGTCACCTCAAGCCTTGGCTTTAAGAATCCCTTAGGGCACTCTTGGGAGGTGAGGATGACATCCACTCTGAACCAATTTGGCCCCTTGGTGGGGGTAGAGTCCTCATAATTAGCAGCAATGGAACATGAGCAGAGGCTGTTTGTCCTCTTATACATTCCTATGGGTGAGATATTAAAAATGGCTGAGGCCAAATCAGCTAAGTGTTCATGTATCAGCAAGCAGGCACAAAAGAGTCACCTATCCTACTTGAGGGCAGGTCAACAGTTGGCCTGATCTGCTTCATTCAAAGGCAGCAGGGCCCTGAAAATCTTCCTGGCCACGATTCTGTGTCGTGAAAACCACTTATTTCGCCAAAGCAAGATTACGTCTAGTATCTCTCAAGCCCATTAAGGCCTTGGGTGTAGATTTTGATGGCCTTTGAAGTGCTTATGTAACCAAGCTCTGGTGTGTAGATTCCTGATTAGACCACTTCAGATGCTAACCCCACTTGTGGGGGTAGAGGAGTCTGTTTGTATACACACACTAGAAGGGGGAGGCTGGAAGTTGACTAGATCCGTACAGAGTCCGTATAATAGAATCTTAGTGTGGGCCGGATTTCCTGGACAGCGCTTTGGGAAAGAAGGGGAATCTGGGGACTAGAGAGACTTCAGTTTGGATCTCTACTTTAGCACTTCGGTGGTCATGTGACTTTCCAAAAGTTGCTGCATTTTCTGGGTTAATTCTTCTTTTCTAAAGTGTTGTTAGTAACAAATTCTTTAGGAAGAATGAGTTGAGGGGCTGGAGTGAGGGCTCTGAGGGCAAGAGCGCTTGAGGTTCTTCCAGAGGACGTGAGTTCAGTTCCCGTCACCCACATTCTCTGGTGGCTCACAGCTGCCTGTAACTCCAGTTTCAGGGCACCCAACACCCTTTTCTGACCTCCTTGGGCACCCACACACATGGCATACCCATATGCACACAAACATACAGATACACAAATTTTAAAAATTAAAAATAAATCTGAAAGAACTGAATGAGATGGCACAGCAGCTGACGTGTAACAGGTGACCTATACATGGTAGCTTTTGTTTTCAGTCTTTGAATAAATATTTTCTGGATGTCAAATGTTTCCCAGACTACTAAGTCTGGGGTAGGAGGATGTAAAGAGGCTTTCGTTACAGGACTGCCATTCCTGTCTCTCCTGGATGGAGACACAGGACAAATCTAGAATTACAGTGTGATTAGCAAGTCATGTTCTTAGGAGCCTGCCAGTTTTCTCTGAGCAGGTTCTGGGCTACAAAGAACCACACCCCCTGGATTCACCGAAACCTTCAGGAAGCAAAACAGTCTTCCTTCTGCCTGCTTCTTTTAGAAGAATAGAAAGGGACTAGTGGAGGAGAAAGGAAAGAGGAACCCAGACTTCTAGGGATGGGAAGTAGAGGCAGTCCTAGTCCTACCTCTGCCCTCATAGCCAGGAATTGAGCATGGTAGCCCTTAGGGAAGTCAAGAGGTCATTTACCGCTGAAACCTTTGGGAGTAGCTAGGGCAGTTATGCGTTGTGCCAAGGTTGGGGTCATCATCCAAAGGTGGCCTAGAAGGGTAGGGACTGGGCATGCAGGAGGAGAGGGGGTGGAGGGTGACAGGGAGTATGAATGAAATGTTGAAGGCAGATGAGCAAAAGGGGTCCTAATTTCCAGTATTCTTCCTCTGCTCACTCAGCTCCTCACCAATACATACACCTTAAGTACTTGCTGTTTTCTAAGCATTGTGCTAAGAAGACAGACTTTAGAACCCTCTGTGCCTACCCTAGACTCTTGGCTAGTCCCAGAGAGGAACACAGGATGGACCTGATTCAGTGACCACATATGGCTGTATGATCTGTGGAGGCAGAGGGAGCCAGACAGAGGCTAGGGAAGCCAGGGCTTTTCCTCTGTAGAAGAGGAATCAGTTATTTCCTTAAATGGTATTTAAAAGGGAGAGATCAAAGGCCTTCCCTAGTGTCTGGCATATTATAAGCATGTAGAAATTATTTTTAAGTGAAAAGCAATCCTAAGGAATAAAGGCAGAAAAGACTACCATGGAAAGAAAGAGATGGAAAGAAAATCCAGTCAAGGAAGACCCTGATGAGTGGATACACAGGTTTCCAGTCTGACTTCACATTATAACCTCCTGAGGGCACTGATTGAAACCATAGATTCCAGGTCCCACCCCTGACCTTCTGAATCAGCAGGCCTTGGGGTGTTGGAGGGTGCTGTGTTTTCTCTTTCTTAGGACTTGCCGGGTGTCTGTATTGACTAGCAGAGCAGACCTCATATTCTGACATTTCTGTGATCACCTCAGAGAGTAGCAGCCTCAGAGGGAAACATAGGGTAGAACAGATATAATTACAACATTATGTCAATGCAAAACGATCTGCCCAGTGCAGCTGTGGGCAAGAAGGAGCCAGGCAGGGGCAGCTCGGTGTGATGAGAACAGAAGAAAGGGAGAAGGGAAGCTGAGTTGTGGACTGTAGTACTCAGAAAGTGAGGACCAGGTAAATCTAGCCAGTTCTAGTCCATCAAGGAGCTTGTATCCCACTTTGATGTAGTCTGTTTCCCTGCCAACTTTCATCAACGATGAAAACCCTGGCTGCTCATATCAAGACAGGGAGGGGTGAGCGGCTGGGGCCGGTTCTAAGGCAGGTTCTCTAGCAGGGAAGCCTGTGTTGGGAGAGACCCTGGAGTTCTAAGAAGCCAAGAAAACCCAAGTCAGGTACAGAGCTAACCAGGGCCTTTGGCTCCTTTTCTGTGGTAAATAGACGGCAACGCCAAATACATGAGTTTTCAGATTGCTGGTCTTGCGCTTAGCTCTTGGCACGTCGGTGGTCACGTGACTTTCCAGAAGCGCTCATCAGAATCAGGCGCTGATGCTGTGATCCGTTCAGCCCCTGACAGACACAAGCTGAAGAAGTCTAACCCACTACCTCACCCACTTGGCTTCACCTCAGCTTCCATAAGCTCATCTAGGGTAGAGATTACAACGCAAGAGGTCTGGGGAACTAGGGTTCTGATTTCATATGTTCAAGTCATGTTTGCTGCACATCTTCTGTGGGCCAGGGGAAGGAGAATGTGGAGCTGACCCCAGTCCCAGGCAACAGGATCTTGGAGGATCTCCGATGGTCCTCTGGCCTGCCCTCCTCTGAGCCACTGTTTTCTAGAACAGGAAGAGCCTCGTGTTCTGATGTAGGAACCTACACAACACATAGGGCTGTTTGTACCAGTTCCTGCTCAGCCTCTTTGTTGTGACCTGAGGGCAGTCTCTTCAGGTCCTTGTGCCTCTGCTAATCTGTGAAACCAAAGCAAGACTTCTCTGGCCCCCATCCTCACTGATAGAGGATGGACACTTCAAGAGAGCCGGGATCTGGGAGGAGCGCTACGAACACCACTGGCCAGTGTGAGAACTGACAGATGGGGATAAAAGCAACACCACTAATCCTACCTGGGATACAGCCTGCCAATTCAGGGCACTGAGAACAAGTGTGACTTGCTCTGATTTTCTCGTTGGGAAACACGTTATTTTTACGCCAATAGTCATTGAGGCTCAGTGAGCATGTTCCTCCGGGTATCTGTTAAACATTTTATAAAGCACGTTATTAGGAAGAAGAAGAAGAAAAGAAAAACTTTCTAAGGAGTGATCTTAGTTCCCACAATTCTCTGTGCCCAAAGCTGTTTTTCCTCTCCATTTTATGAATAAAGTGGACTAAGGTAGCAGACATGCAGCTAAACGGGGACTCAAGCCCTGTTCTGCCTGACTATTCCAAAGAACATGCCTTTAGTCACTGTTGGGGCCTACTTTGGAGACTGATAGGTCTGGTTACACTG